ATAGATAGATAGATAGATAGATATAGAGATAGAGATAGAGAGATAGAGAGATAGATAGATAGAGATAGAGACAGAGACAGAGATAGAGATAGGTAGATAGATAGATAGATAGATATATTCCATTGGGAGCGAAGCTGCAGGCAACACATTTTCTTCTTCTACCAGCGTCCGGACACGCAGAACGAGCACAACGAGCTCGTGGACAGTCACAAGGACAGCAAGCTGACCATCACCACTGGGGAGAACGAGCGCATCAAGAGTTTTGCTGTCTACTTCCTCCGGTGCTTTGGCCCCCAAACCACCGTGGCTTCGGTCTGGGTCGACCGACTGGCCTGGCACGTACCGCGTGTCGTGCGCGTGCGCGGGCGTGCACGGGGTGTTCGTCGTAGAGTGTAGAGCGAAGTTGTGGGACGTGACCATTGGACAGAGGGTGGGTTTTAAAAAAGAGAAGACAACTAAGAAGTGAACGGTCATTAAATGGCTCATGGGGACGTGGGAAGATCTGGTGCAAGTAGCCACACCTGTGAGCGCTGCAAACAATATGTGCACAAATATGACCTGTTCACAAGAGGGGGATTGGCATGTTGACCAAGACCCTCGTTGCTTTGGAATGTGGGCGGTAGACATGGATCTACCATGTGTTCATGGATCTACCATGGATCTACCATATTTAGAGTTGTAAGGATTTAATATTCATTACACCCAAACGCTCCTGGACCCTCATATGGAGGGGTCGGACCCTCATATGGAGGGGTCTGGGATCTCAAATCCCTATGGTTTTGAGGGACCAAGGGCTGTTTGGAGCGTCTGGGCAGATTGCAGTTTCCCAACATCACTCCGAAGCAGCCCCAGAACAGCCGGGTTCCTGGCCTGCCCCCATCCTCTCACCCGGCATTCGACCAAAGGTGTCCAAGTGAGGAGGTCTTCGCTCCAACGAGACACGCCCAGACATCCTCATCCCAAGCCTCACATGTGGTCACAGCGATTCGCTGTTTGCACAAAACCAGCGATCCCAGGGGCTTTGGGAACGGCACGGCATCCAGCTCCCCATGTCAACGGCGAAATGTCCAGGCTGAAGTCCTACCCCCCCCCCATAGTCCCCCCGACACATCCCGTCACCATCCTTTGTGGATCATCCACACTTTTCGCCATCCTCGTCGTTTCTCCACTCGACGTCTGGGCGGACGTCTCGCCTAAGGACGGTGCCGCAGGACAAGGCCATCAAGACAGATGTGTTCTCAGACCACGAGCTTCTCTTCGGAGAAGTGACCGCCAATCCCTTGGAGAGTGCCCCGGCGGTTGGTGTGGAGCGGAGTTCAGAGTTCAGAGCGGCGTTGGACACGCGTTCAGCTGGCGTTGGGGAGACTGGAAGGAGTGGGTGTTTTTGTTGACCGGTTTTTCCATCGTCTCAGACCTCAGAGTGCTTTCAAATCGAGTGAACTTGTATCAGGAGATTTCTGAAGGCTGGCGGAAAGCAGTGGGAGCAAGAGGGTCATCCACTCTGAAACTACCCTACCCTTTTGTCCACCTGCGCCCCCCTTCTCCAGATGACTGCATCGCCGACATTTTGCATCGCCGACAAGCCGTACCAAAGGTGTTCTTTTCGTTTGGTCCAGCTGCGTTGTTCGATGGGCCGGTCGGGATGCTCACTCGGCACTGATGCAGATGTAGTCACTGATGTTGTTCATGTGACATGGAAACAGTGAGTGATCCAAAACACGCATGAAGAAACTGTGGCCTCACCCTGTGAAGCGGAACTCTCAAATGACCTCTCAGCCTGGGCTCCTCCCGCCTGGCACCAGACCTCCCCCCAATCGACTGAGGTCTGAGCGCCACCTTGGCCAACATTTTTCAGCCCATCAGCGCGCGTGGCCGCACAGAGATCCAGTGGGGCCAGTGTGACCAGGAGCAGAAGGCCTGACCAAAAAACGGGGCAAGCCAGGCTTTTCGTGTCAGCACAAGCCCATTGGCAATCAGGCATGCTGAGGCCGATGGCCATCCATGTGCTGGCCATCCAGTCGCTTCGCTTCGGAGCATGACATCGAGCCGTTCGAAGCGCTCGAATCGAAGATGATGCTTTGGATGGATGTTGGAACCCTCAAACCTTCTGTTCCAAGCACCTGCCAACCTGTTCAATCTGCTTTCGTTGGCCTTTGAGCACTTCTTGACGCTGATTTGCTCCACCTTTGGGGTTCCCCACCCCCATCCCCAACTACCAGCCCCCCCTCCGTCGTCCACACAGGAACTCCGTTTTTCCCGGCAGGTGGAGTTCCTGTCGTCCTTCGAAAAGTTCTCCGTGGAGCTTTCGGAGTCCATCAGTGCCTTAAGCGCGGGCATCGTGTTGAAGAAGGACGGGCGGAAGGGTGGGTGGAGGTGGGTGTTCATGGAAGTGGGGGCGGCTGGTGTTCAGGGTGTTCTATGCGAGATTTTGAAGCCCGTCCCCAACTGCACAGAGCTGGGAACCTGTAGAATATAAGAACATATTCTACAGGTACCCAGCATCTAGGAACCCAGTACCCAGCTGGGAACCCATCATATAGGAACCCTGGATGGGCTTTTTCTTTTCGTACTCTTTGCACTCTTTTTTGCATATTTTTACATTAGGAAATGGTATTTTGCATTCCATTATTTTATCGTATTTCTTAATCTTAATAATTTTAATAAATCACATCCTCTCCAAGTTCCTCTCCATTCAAGGGTTTACTTAAGGAAATGTTGTCCCTCAAAATTAGGATGAAGACCATAAACTATATAAAAATATGAGGTGGCAATCAGTAACGCATGAATTCTATTGGCGGCACCGCAGTTGTGACACGTTCGGTGTGATGGGTATCCCCCGCTCTCCGGACCTGGAACGCACGCGTGTTGATTCACCGAATCGTCGAACCCCAAAGCACCACGACCATCGCACGCCGTGTACCAGCCCAAAAGTATAGGTGGCGAAGGGTAGATTCATGGGTGACCCCTTTGGAGGGTTCCGGAAGACCCCCTTAGATATTTTCTTCCAGCAGTCATAAGACGGGGTGCGATCCATGGAGGTTAGGGGTACCCTTGTCACATCCACTCACTTGGGGACCAAACACCACCCTTTTGTGACTCCTGGTTGATTCTTCTTGATGGTCAAGCTCCCAGGACCTGCCTTCGGGGCTTTTCCTGGATCCGAGCAGCCCGCAGTACCAGGAAAAGAATGCTCGGTGGCGCGCGGATGGGGGGGTAGCCGAAAGGCTTGGTAGCACGGCAGGGGTCCGGTTGGTGAGGAGACTGTTGTGCACATTTGACCTACACTGTAGCACAGGAACTGTTGCATGATGCCTAGCTGCTAGCTAGCCCCGGCACTCACAGTGCAGGGCATTGGTTGGTTTGTGTATATTGAATGTGCGTGTTGATCGGGGCTACAAGCCGGAAGATGATAAAGAACGGGCTTATTGTCAAGTCAACATCAATGCATACACGATGGGGATGTTTTGTTGCACCCCCAATGGATACACCCTGCTTTGCATTGAAAGCTACAGGTAACACTTGTACTTTGGCTTTGATATAGGCCCTGGCTGTGCATCATCATCCAACTACATATTGTGATTGGAAAGAAGGATGCACTCTGCGCACTCTGATTCACTAACATGGAAGTGGACAATTGTCCCTTGGAAGACTACTTTTCTTTACGACCAGGGGGTTTTCCACTTCCATGTGAGTCGGAGTGTACATTCATTGGCTTTGCCAGCAAGTGCCATTCGGCTTGTGTTGCTTTCCGTGCTGAACCACAGGACATGCTGAGAGAGAATCCGGAGGTCATTGGCGAGTACGGAGCTCTATTGGAATCCTGGTGTCGCGACATTGAACGATACCTGGAAGAAGGTTTGGATCAACAAGCTGTTGAGAAGGAGCCAGGACCGCGTGGTGAGCTCGAGACTTTGTTGCAAGAGGATCCTGATGTTGGTCAAAACCTATACCCTAAGGATCCAGTCGTACCTCTGAGAAGGTGGGACTGGGGTGGGTTTTTGAGGAGGTACGGCTGGATCCCCAGGGATAGTATATATTGGTCAAAACCCCTTTTCTGGTTGGTTGGATCAGATCCTTCTGCACACCCTTCTCAGCCTCAGCATGCTGCAGAACCTGGCACCCGCGCACCTTCATATGAGACCCCAGACCCCTCCATATGAGACCCCTGCAGAACCTGGCCTAAAACGGCCAAGGACTTCTGGCGCAGCCGCATGCAAAAGATCACCTCCATCACGGAGCAGCTCAAGGGCCGCGAGTGCAAGGCGGTCTTCGACGTGCTTCACGCCGTGACGCGGCACGGAGGCAGTGACGTGGCGCCTAAGAGCCGGCAGACCGTCTTCAATACACTGAGAAGATGGAAACAAATCGATGCTTGGAGCTGACCATCTTTGAAAACTGCCCCCTCCCGTGGTGTTGTTCAGAAAGAAGGACTTTCCATTGACTTTCCTTCTCTCACCACCCTCTTGGAAACCCGGGAAGAGTTGAACCAGATGGCATGGGACCAGACTGGAAGACGTACTTTCGTCGATTTTGCGGGGTTCAACCGTTTGTTCCTAAGCAGGGTGTTGCTTCATCCGTGTCGGTGACGCGTGTAGGTCGTTATGTCATAATTCCCACAAGTTTGACTGATTTGGGTTTGTAACTTCGACCCCTTTGTACCAGGACCGACCCCAAGCCCGGTGGTTTTTTGGATACCCCTTAACACTAAGAAAACACTAAGAAGCTATTTATGGACACCTCGACAGGAAGGTCCTGGTATAGGGGTTCAGTGACGATTTGGCGCTTCAAGTTCACCATGTAGACCAGTTTTGACCACTTCCATGTGCCTATAGCACTTCCCATGGGTGCCCTGGAGTAGGAGACCTAGGCTAAGTAGTGTGGGGTTTGTCCTGCCAGGTGACCCGTTTTATTTTAAGCAGCTGGATGTTTGCCATTGTTTTTCAGTACTTCATGCTGCTGGTCGACACTTTCGACCAGGACATCTCCATCACCGAAGCTTTCAACGAAGCGAAAGACAATGTGAAGTATTTGACGACCTTGGAGAAGTTCATTGAGCCTTTGTGCCCTGGGTCACGGTCAATCTCATTTTGTTGGTGACTGACCCTGTCTAAATAGACAACTGTTCCTCTAGACTCTGGACTCTAGGGTGCTGCATCAATTCCTTGCGTGCTGCGATGCGAACTTAAAGGTGTCAAGCAAGAAGGCGTGGTTAGAAGCCCGAAGAGTTAAGTTGCTACCAGGCAGGCCAAGCTAATCCCTGAAATATCGCCCGTGCTTACTCGATGTGCTTCCGTCCACTTGCACCCCTCAAGTTCAAGAAGCAGCATGTTCGCACCTTTTCCTGACTTATCCTCATCCCCAAGCAGCGCCCATGCGCACCATCCTTGCAGTTTCCACTGCACACCACCCTGCCAGGTACAGTGGGAGCCCATCCCAGATCATCGACGCCCTCCCGGCCTTGCTGAACTCTGTCACCATGATCCACACCATCGCGCGGTATTACAATACCTCCGATCCTTAGAATGAAGAGCGGTCCAGATGCGATGCATCGTCGGATGAGGTAGGCATGGCTGGGACGAGCTGGGCCTCGGCGACGTGAGGTGTACGTGAGGTGAATGTGGCATCCGTTGAAACACTTTGAAACACCGCGTGGAGCACGAGCTCGCGAGGCTTTTGTTCGGCGGAGCGAGTGGGGTAGGGGGGTGATGGATGTGAAAGATGCCACGGTTTGGACTGGTTTGGGCGTCCCTGCCCCAAAAAATCCCGGATAGCAGATGATAGCAGTGTAGGGGAAGGTCCGGACACCCCAGATGGATCCTGGAAGAAAGTGGATAGCTTGTCCTGTTCAAAGCACTTGAGGAGCGCATCACGAACCTCTTCTCCAAGATCACCAATCAGATGATCGTCAACTGTCGGTCCTGCATTATTGGTGATTGCGAGGATGCATCACATTTGTGGGATATTTTGCCACCAGAGCTCATCAAGAACTTAGAGGTGTGTTTGAAGCTCAATGAGGCCTATCAAGAGCAACTCGGGCCAATTCGAGGACCTGTTCTAGGACCGGGGTAGCTTTTTGTTCCCCGGTACGTTTGTTCAGAACTTTTTTGGTAGCCACATCAATCCGCGCCAACTTCCCCCGTTCACTCGTTTCGCATGTCGCTGGTGCGCTCGCTGACCTGCAGGCAATACAACCTCACCAAAAGCAAGCTCATGACCTTGCCGAAGGGCAAGCAGTTTGACTTCAACGAGAGCTTGATCTTCGGGCGCTTCGACCTTTTCTGCCGAAGAGTGGTGAAGCTCATCCACATGTTCGGCACAGTGCACCAATTCAATCAGCTGAAGATCCACTTGAAATCCATGGACGGGATCCGGCAATTGGTCGCCCCTCGGGCCGTGTGCGGGTGGTTTTTGGTGGCGGATCCGGAGGTCGTCGGTCCTGGAGCGCCACCGGTGTTGTCTCAGACCTGTGGTGAGACCCCCACCTATGTGGGTCTGGGCTTGGAGGGGGCGGCATTGGATAGTCAAGTGGTGTGTGGTGACCTGTGGTTTGAGGCAGTCAACCACGAATCCGAAGTCGAGTCTGATGCAGGGAGATGGTCGGAAGAGGGTCACCAGACGGAGGGATCAAGGTTCAAGTACCGAAATATTAACACCCAAACACCCCATGGGACTGCCATATGCCTACATTGACCCCTCAAACCACCCCAATGTAGGCATATATGGCATACATGGAGTGTCTGGGACATGTACTGTCAGGATCTGTGAGGCAGATGGTACTGATCGATGCATATGTATAAATCGATGGATGATATCACACATGAATTTTACAATTGGTGTTGTACCTCCCAAGTGTTTGACACAAAATTCAACATGCACTCATTCGGCAAGCGACTGTTGGTTCCAAACCATCCAGAACCCTGACAAAAAATGAAACTCCTTAGCCTGATCATTCACCAAGCGCCTGTCCCATCCGCGCGCCTGGTTTCCCCACAAAACGCTGCATGTTCCGCTTCCGGCTCGGAGCTTCCGGTGGCGGAAGCCGACGGCAGTCACCCTGTTGAATGAGATCCACTGTTTTCCGGCTGCGGGGGAGCCACGGACGTTTCTGGCCAGTGAGCTGCAAGTTTCGTTGGTTGGCCCTGCTGCAGATGTTTTGCCTGAGTCTTGCACGGGAAGTCGTAAGGGATTGTTTTGCTTTCTAAGCCTCCCTCACAGCAGGGTTGCTGCGTTGGGAGCCAGGGTAGTTTTGCAGAGCCAAGGCATCTTTCCAAAACATCGTGGACGACTTCAAAGTGAAGCGTCATGACTTGCTGGACTTCCTGAACAATCGCTTTGACCGAGCAGCTTGTTTGGATTATTAAGAAGAGCTTTCTTGCTTGGCTTGCTTGTTGCAGGTTTCCACCAAGCTTCGACGCACAAGACGTGATCCAGCAAAACCGGACCACGGGACCCTTTGTCCCGTGGGGATCGCCAGGGAGCGAGCCTCACCCACCTGGCAATCTGCAAAAGACAACCTTCCTGGAATCAGCATGGAAGTGGAAAACCACGATGTTTCTAGAGGAACATGGTCATCCTATGTCATCCCTGGTCCTTTTCGGGGCCGTCCGGTGCACATCCACGATAGTCATCTGGATGTTCCGGTGTTCCAAGCCCAAGTGAATCCCTTCTACTCCAAGGACTATGTGGAGTTCAATGTGCGTGTGAGTGAGTTGGAGAGCCGATTACAAGAGTTTATCAACCAATCCTTCCACAACATCGCCTCCATCGATACCTCCTTGAAGCTTCTGAGCAAATTCCAATCGATTCTGCAGAATGGCAGCTTGAAGACCGTGCCTGAGCTGGAACGTTTACAGAGCCTTCTAGGATGACTTCGTTCGTTTTTCATTTTTTTGCTGCAGGCACGGCCACCAAGCAAATCTAGCCAAAAGATCCTGAGAAACCTTCAGGTCAATCACAGGGAGAACCCCCTGGAAGAGACCCACATGGAAACCTGAAAACCCCTTTGTTAGACTCGGAAACGAGTCTTGCAGGTCCGTCAGGTTTGACTCACGGTGACCCACGGTGACGTGGATGGCGTCCCACCGGAGACCACGTTGAATCTGACAGCGTAACAGGCCGTGTGCAGCCGGTTTTCCACTTCCGGGCCACGTGTTCGTCGGATTTGTTGTTTCTCCGGAAAGTCACATCTTGCTAGTATATCATGATCGGTGCTTCCACACTGGTACTTCTCTTCGGGATTTGTGATGTACAGTGGTTTCAGAGTATAGTCTTAGACAGATGGGAGGTCCACTACTAAACCTCCGAACTTGGGGGACATACTTGTGCCATACCACCGAACTTGGGGTAGCTTGTGCCATGTCTCACCTCGGCCCATGGTACTTCTTTGATCAACCACTCGACCGGTCTTACCGGTCGATCGTGGATCGCTTCGTGCTTCGTGACGCTTTTCGCGTGGTGGGCCTGGGAGACCCCATGGTGGGCCTGGGACTTGTCAACGATCCAAAAGGAAGATTCTGCTCGTTCTGTTCAGGGCATCAGCCAGTGAATCCATGTAAACCTGGATGACCTCTTCGATTAAGGTACATCAGGCTTATCACATCGGTATCCTGGTATCCTTACATGTCCTTGGGGGCCCAAGTGCACACAAGGGCTGTATCGATGGACGAGCTGATGGTTCTTGATCTTCCTAAACCAGAATTCTAAGCATCGCTCATTGCCAGCAGTCACATGTCGGGGTGCCGAAGCCCCTGGATGGGACGGTTTCCACACCACCCTGGCCTCCATGTGACTCCTGGTGGTGACATCTTGGTGTCATTTTCAGGTGGATGTTGGGGACTTGATACCCCCCTGGAAGACGAGCCAGAACCTGAAAACCCCTGGTTGGTAGAGGAAAATCGTCTTCCATGGGACCAGGACGTCAGGGTCTATGTTAGTTTTCGGGAGTGTACCTTTGGGCCACGACCTGATAAGTGTTTGTTACGGTCTACGGTCTACATGAAGGACGCCGCTGGTTCCTTCAGGTTCATTTGAAAGTTTGTAAATCACCGGGGACCTTCCTGTCGAGGTGTCTATAAAGAGCCTCTTAGTGGTGAAGAGGTGTCCAAAAACCACCGGGCTTGGAAGGTCCTGGTGAGTGGTAATTACGTGGTAGTTATATAGGTTGCTATGCATGTTTTCTGTATTTTCCTATTCTAGGCAACAAGGAGTGGATTTTCCAGGCTGCCATCCAAGATCTGGACTTTCCTTCTCCATCCAGACAGTATACACCTGGAGTCTCAAAGTACTTCAGAAAATGGGTGCAGTCGTACCTGTTTTTACATGCCTGCAGGCTCATGTCCCATTTTCCCCGGTACTTGAAGGTCGGGTCCAGGTAGGGATCACTTGGATCTTCCGCTGGCCACTCCTCCTCCGACGGCCCTTTCTACCCAGGACTTGGAGTCGAAGTTCTCGGTGATTTTCCACAACTACGGTCAAGAGCTGGAGGTGCTGAAGGAGGTGTACGTCACTTCGCCAGCAGGGATCGATCGCCTCCCTCGCTCCGCCGGCACGCGGGAGGGCGATCAGTGGCCGGCCATTGTTGGATCGCACGAATGCAAGTGGACGAGTCCCTGCGGTGTCCGAAAGGACCTGGGACGTGCACCTGGTCGAATTCGAGTCCACAGGGTTACCGCGCTGTTCCATGACAAGGATGCTTTTGCTTAGGGTGTTTCTTAAGGTCTTTGAAGGCTCCAATGAAGTGGAAATGACACATAAGATCACTTCAGTCACTTTTGAATGTTTGAAAAGATGAGCCGTTCGCGATGTGTTCTTGAACATTTTTTGACATTATTTCATTTACCCACTGCCTTACATAGCAACCCGATTCATCCCACGGGATGATGAGTTTCGAAAGGGATTTTCAAGGTGAACTACAAGAAAAACCGTCCAAATGGATTGGTTTCTACAGTGAGGAGGCCTTTCTACAACATCGCTTCCCGTGACTTCTGGTCTTCCCTCGTCGCTCCCCTCGTCGGGGACTCGAAACAGCCGACCCAGGAGAAGCAACGGGGCTCACCGCAGTTCGTGCGGAACATGCCCCCGGTGGCTGGGAACATCATGTGGTCCAGGCTGGGTTTGGAAGGGCCGGCAGTGCAGGAGATCAAGAGAGCATTGTATAGTTTCAAGTTTCTGCTGTAATTATGTCAGATGTGTTCAACTTTTGCTTATATCGTTTGGTACACCCCCTAGTCGCCTCAAATAGCACAGATGAACACTTGCCTAGTCGCCCACCATGTTCTTCAGTTACACCACCATCTCACCAGCAGACGTCCCTGACCTTTGGGGCTCCTCTCCATGCCGGACCTCGGCTCCACTGCGCGAGCCGCGCCACGTAGCTGCCGTGGTCGCCTCGCCCAGCTGCTCGATCAGTCCAGGCAGCTGCTGCACCTCATCATGGATCCCATGCGCCGCTTCCACTTGAACCCCTTGGTGCTGGCCGGCGGCAAGGAGGCCAAGCGCATCACCAAGATGCCGGGACACCCGGGTGCGAGCGTACTCGGCGCGGTGTGGTGCGAGCGTTGAGGAGGGGAGGATGGAGGTAGGGTGGAAACAGGTTGAAACTATAGATCTTTGGGATTTCGCCAGGGTTCATTTCTATGACAGGGTCCATTTGAAGTTCTCCGGAGGAAAAGAAACTGGAGAAACCAACCCACGCCGGAGGTGGGTCCGTTGGCTTCTTGCAGTCATAACGTGAAGGAGTCCGTGCGGACTGCCAAGCTCGGACTCCTCATGTCTCGATGTCTCATCAGCTATGTGCATCGTGCGGACACCATGCGTGCTAAGATGGATAGAATTGGCTGTTCCTGAGGAGAGGCTCGTGAGGTTTCGTTCGACCAGCGGGGAGGTGGATGACCGGAATCGAGTGGATGACAGCTCCGCAGCTCCCCACCACTTGAACAAGCATGTTCAAGCGGCTGTCAATCTATTGTTTATCTAATTTGGGAGCATTGGGAACCTCAAAGAACGCGGCGGTGAGCGGCCTAGGTACAACAAGATGGCCAAGACCTTGGTGGAGTTTGAGATCGTTTGGCATCAGGCCCGGGGCATTTTCTCGGCGGGAAGAGATTGTCGTTGAGTCATCACATGTCATCACTCATCACTGAGTCGGACCTTTCACATCCGGGCCAACCACTTTTGTGGAGGACTGATCTTGAAATGGTTGACCCATCCCCCGTTTTCATTTCATGGGCTTTTCCAAATATGAGAAAAAACATCCTTCACCTTCACCCAAAACACCACCCCAGAAGCCACGATGGCTTCATGTGCGCCACATGGATCGCCTCGCCAAGCCTATCTCGCTCGCCTGGATCCTTTCCCAGACACGACCTGTTTGGGACTGCCATAGGACTGCCGATCAGTTGGGGTGGTGCCAGGGGGGTCTGTCTGGGGCGGCAGTCCTATGGCAGTCCCATGGAGTGTATGGCTTTGAGATGGGCCTCGCCTGGTCGCGTCACACGATCCGAGTTGCGCCCAGCATGGGACGTCGCATATTTAGCCGAGCGCAATGCGCCATGGCCTGTAAGACTACTAGGTGAACCGCCCAGTTTCCCCATGAAATATCTGAGATGGTGTTTGACTGTGTTTGGGGTGGGTTTGGAAGGTCCAAATACCTTTTGAGGAGGGTCGGCTGGAACCCTAGGGTGAGATGTTATTTTGCAGATGGTGCAAGCATGTGAAAACTATCATTGAACGCTGAACCGAGGCCCACAATTTCATCAAGTTTCATCCAGCTAGGTAGAGCTATCAATATGGACACCAACTTGAAACGGCATACAGATTTTGCAATCTTGCACTGCTTTGGGAGCACTGCGTCCACGCAATCGATTTGTGTCATGGAACATCTACGGGAAACTCTTCACCCGCCCAAATCCTTTATTAAGTTTCCTGTAGATTTTCCCACCAAATCTGGGATCTCTCAATCACTTTTCAACTTTCACCACGGCCTCACCCCTTCCCTCCCCACTTTCCTCCCCTCCCCACTTTCGAAAACCCAACACGCACAGACCGACCGCCGTCCTTCTCCGAGGCTTGGATGAGCTCCTTGGAGACCACCAAAGCAGGACTCAACGCCACGCTGATGATCAAACATCCCGAGGATCAGAAGCGCCTTGGTCGTCGCACCGAGCGGAGCTGAACGTCATGTGCGCCGTGCGCGTTCCGTTCGGGGTCGAGCGGCGTCTGTTTGTGCGGAGGAACGTGCATGTCTCGAAATTCAAGCCGCGTGCCGTGCCTCGTGTTTTGTTTTGTGGTGTGTGATGTGTGCCAGGACCTTCCTATTCAAGGTGTCTATAAATAGCCTCTTAGTGGTGAAGGGGTGTCCTAACGTGCCGGCGTGGGGGCGTCGGTCGGACCGTCCAGGCGTGCGGAGCAAAAGGGTGGTGAGCAGCACGGGACACCGAGGACTGGGGATGGAGTGATGTTAACATGGCATTTTTCAGGATATCCATCCCATCATCCATTTGCAGGGCTTGGTAGCAACTCCCCATTCTGAATGATTGGCTTGCAGGCTCCTTCCGGATGACTGAGTGAAGCACTAACATAATCATGGAAGTGGTTGTCCCAGCTGTTTGTAGAAGCAAAGGGTCGTCCAAGGGGCCATTTCCATGATTCTTCCACGGAGTGTACTTCAATTCTTGTCTTCTCCCCAAGATTCTTCAACGTTGACTGCAACTGCAACTGGTCCGACTCCAACACGGCCGACTGAGCATTGAGCACAAAATGGGTCCCAGGTATCACGTGAACTTTGACTCCGAGATTTTGCAGCTCATGAGGGAAACCAAGATCATCGACCGCATGGGGCACATCGACATCCCTGAGACGCACGGAACGAATCGGGGTGTTTTCGGTGTGGCCTGGAATCGGCATAAAAAAGCAGCAGGCCGGAAGCAAAGAGATTCTTCCAGCAGTCACAAAGGGGTGCTTAATGGAGGTTAGGGGTGCCCATTATCCACTCACTTGAGGACCAAACACCACCCCTTTGTGACTGCTGGTTTGTTGGATTCCTTTAGCCCAATTGGGGACGGGTTCTACCTGGTAGAGTAAATTGACGGGCCTGCGGGTATTCAAAGGCTATGCGAATGGCGCGCATGCGTGCATGAAGTCTATCATTGATCACTACCCCTGAGAACTTTCAAGCCCCACTGCTGGATGTATGCGTAGAGATTGTACAATGTATGATCGGGCGGCATGTGGTCATGTGGAGCGTTTTTGAAAGGTTATGACGTAGAGAGGGGCCCAACAGGTCAAATATGAAGACTCTAGAGGCCCCAGTTGCCCCATAAAGAGATTCTGAAGATGTACACCCTGGACGTTTAACATGGAACCTGAAAACCACTGGGTTGTAGAGGAACATAGTCCTCCCAAGCTCCATTTTCAGGTTCCATGTTACTCCCAGGTGTACTGATCCAACCAGTTGATTGGCGAGAGTACTTCGTTCACGCAGATCGCCCTTTGTTTGCGTCTCAAAGTAGTTCGACTCAAATCTATCGGTTTGGTTCATTGGTTCAGCGTCTCTCCAACCATCCATGCAAGTGGATGGCATGGCATGGAAAGACCATTGCCAACCTCTGCAAACAGGGTTGGAACTCCATGAAGCCATGCTTGTTGCAAGGAGGGTTTATAAAACTTGATATAACTTGTCGTATACTGTATACTTATACTATACCAGTGCCCCGCAACAGGTTTGCTTTGGAGGCAGCTGTAACGCTCACGATGGTCGGAAAAATGAGACAAAATCGGATTGGAAGGGCTACGCAGGCTACGCGCCCGGAGCGCCTTGGCAGGTTTTGACCTAAGATTTCAGGGCAGTGTTTTTGAGACATGTTGAGACGATTTTTGTGGATCTGAGGAGTGCTCGGATGATCCTGCTCCAGGAAAAGAAGCTGAAAGCTTACTACAACGAGCTGAACTTCTTGTTGCAAGAGTATCGACGAGTCACGCAGATGGTGAAGCCGATCACTGCCAACTTATTGAAACCGCACTTGGAGCACCTGGAGTTGCAGTTGAGGCCTGGCATGGTCACTTTGACCTGGATGTCCATGAACTTGGACGCTCGGTAATCGCTTGCCCCCCACCCGTGCGTTTTGGGGGGAGAAATGGGGGGGGTGCCCCACTCAAATCTGGGGAAACGGCTGACGGGCTTAGGGGGAAGACGGAAGACGGAATAATACTGCCCTGTTGTATGAGCAACTCATCTTCCAAGCCCCTCTCATCTCGGAAGTTACTGTAAGTCCAAAGTGTCAGCTGTCAGAAACTCTTCAGTTCAGTCACTGGGGTTCGGTGCGTCGGTTGATTTGTCGGTTGCCCTCTGAGATGATCCGTTCGTTTTCGGTCGTTGGTCCCAAAACGAAGCTGGGTTTCGCGATTCGGGGGTCCTAAACCCTTCGGGTTTAGGTACGACCCTGCTCACTCATGCTGAACGATTTCAAGGTTGAATCATGTTGAATCACGAAGAAGGGGAGCAATGACAGCTCCGGAGCTGTCACAACTGATGCAGGATGAGAGGGAGTTCGGGATGTGTGTGTTGTATGATGTTGTATGTGTGTTGGCTTCGGTTGGCCGCCTTGGCCGTTGAGGATACCTATCTCAAGAGCGTTTGGGATGCTTTAGCCCAGCTGGAACAGCTGATTTCGGGCATCAACGACATCATGGAAAGCCTAGTGGATGCAAACCTTCGCCTGGTCTCCCGCGTGTTGTTGGCAGACCTGCCCGAGGAGACCGAGTCGTTTTCGTGGGTGGGAGAGGAAGGAAAGGTGAGAACTCACGCGACTCAGCCCCCCCTCTCTTCTGCCAGAATGGTATTACAATGGAATTAGAATCATGAATCAGTTTTGCCAGGGTGACACCCACATGGTTCCTACATGTACCTACACAAGGAAGGGGCTATATATACATAAATCCACTCATAAATCCATACTGGCCGGACTTTTAGTCATCAACACTTAACATGCATGAATTGGCTCCGGGACCTCAATGGAAACCCATCACGATGCTGGAGCCTTCCAGTTCCAGTACTCGGTATTCTTGGAGCGGTCCAGTACATAGGGGTACTCAGAACATCCACTCACTTGGTTCAAAACCACCCAGACAACGAATTCGTGGTGTTGTAATATATGATTTGTTTTAGAGTGGGGGGCCAGGGTTAAGGACAGTGGAAATATCATGGTATTGCACCAAGCTACAGCTAAAACTGTGTTCTTGATTGCCCGTATTTGCCTTTCAATCAAGCTAGGGTTGACCGGCCCGAGAATAGAAAGACAAATTACTTAATAAAATTAATCGAACGGATGACCGTGATGCTCCGGATCTTTTCGGATAGGTGAGACTTCTTCTTTCTCCTGTGTCCCTTTCCCCCCTGGCTTTTCCCTCTCCATTTGGCTGGTTCTTCGCTCCGCCGCAGCTCGCTCCATCCATCGCTCCGCTCCACGCAAAACGACGCGGCAGGACACGCGTTTGGTGTCCCTGGACGACTTTGTGGACCTTCAGGAGCGGCATGTGCGACGCACCACCGAGCCTCGGCTTTGCCGAAGACGTGGCGGGCCCCTCCATCGCAAACCCCGATGTAAACTGAACCTGCGGTGTTTGAGGGGTCTTGGATCCCGATGTTGCGCTAGTTACTGGGCGAGGTTCTGCCCATGGAGGCCGGCCTAGGATTATAGGATTCGGATTGACGACTATCAGCCCAGTTTCGCCGATCTCTTAAGGAGTGGCTGGTGGCCAAGAACCAGGAGACCGAGGAGGCGGTCAATGACATGCTGGGCACCATCGTGCCGCGGCGGACAAGAACAGAGCGGAGCTATCGGGGTCGGGGAGGTCGGTGGCTATGGAGGTTTTGCAAGGTTTTGGAAGCTGTTGGTAGAGGTTTTGCAGCTCATTTAGATCTATCTTGGGATACTTTGGTGGAAGTTGATGAGTTGAACATAGTTGAACAAACGCGAAGAAGATGGAGGATGGAGCTTTACAAAATGAGACTGCTGGATTCGTGCAGCATGTCTGGAGCCACAAGGCCCCAAAAGGTAGACGTGTGCAAGCTTCTTCATAATTAGGTTGCGGAATGTTGCGGAGATGGATTTGCCCGCTTCTTCACAGTGACCCGTTGTTGGACTCTTATAGTGACCATGACCTCAAACCCGGCTATTTTTTGCCAACCTGATCTCAAGTTTGGTAGCTTCCAAGGTGGCCTTCCCCTTGGATCCGCATGTGCGCGGCATCTCCGAAAGCGAGATCATCAAAGTGAAGGCCCACTATAACTGGAGCCGCTCAGAAACGGGTCGTCTTAAAGGCGGGCAGATTGGGGTAGCAAGGCCAACGCAGATCTTGCTGCCATGATGTTACAGACATCAAACAAAGGGGCTTTTTTCCGGATGATCACATCGTTGCAGCAAAGGATGCAGCCTCGCTGTCAGGCTGCAGGTGCTGAAAGGAGACCCTAGTGACTGTGTCATGAAGGTGTTACCCTTCGCAAAAGAGGATCACCACGTCCCCATGACGTGCTACGATCCAGTCAGTGATGGTGAATGAGGTCCTTGACCCAAAGGCTATGATGGTACATGGAGAAAGCATCACAGTGCTCAGTTGACCCACTCAAGTTGCCATCCCAAACTCATACTTTGTCCAGATTTCATCCAATTCAATTTCTAAGAAGCTCTAGTGACTCCCGACTATCTCCGACTCACGTTCCCGGAAAGACGATCTTCCACCCTCGGTGTGCTGCATTTGAATGGTCCAGTGATACCTGGCAAGTTCTCCACGCCTAAACGCACCGCCGCCGCCGCGACGGACATCTTCCCCACCGAGGTATGTACCAGTCGCTGCTCGCAGCCACCAAGCGGTCCCTCCACAAGGTCAAGGAGCGCCTCGCGGCACGGAAGCAGTCAGACGGCTCCCCATTGCCACCCATCTTCGAGGCGCGAGCGAGCTTCGGCACGCGCGTGAACCACGCCGCGCATGTGGAACGGGCGTGGCATGCGGTGTCTTGCATGCTTGGGGGGCCCTGGAAATTCCGTCCACTTCTAGAAGACCGAAGACCTCAGCATGGATGTGAATGGGTGTGCATCAAGAACGAGAGACCTCCGCTTGGGGACGATGTGTTCTCGTGCATGTTCGAAAGACGGGTGCGGTTCGGGGGTCACCCTAATGCGAAGACCGAACGCTTGAGTGATGATGTACGCTAAAGCTAGTTCTGATGACGCAAAACATTAAAAAACACATCAACAAGGCAACAAAAAATGAGAAATCATCAGCGAATCCCGAAAGAATGGTGACTGGCTGAGGGCCTTTCTGGGCTGAAGAGCCCGAGCTTTTGTGTGGCAAGTCCCCAAACTAAGCTTAGCCATGAAGTTGGGTGTTGAAATACCTAGAGAGGTTGAACAGCCCCATAGCCCATCCCATCTGTACCACTCCAGGGTCCTATAAGGTCTCTCAACCTCTCCTGGTATGTGAGGCTTAGCCAATGATCATCCGTTCGCATCTCCACGACCCCTCCGGTTTGCAGGTGGAGCTGCAGCTGAATGGCCTGGGCGTGTGTTTGCAGCCGTCCATCGAGGAGATCCAAAGCGCCGTGAATGGCGGGGCCATTGCGGTGCTGAAGAGCTCCAAGATGATCGAGGTGCGTTCAGCATGTTTTCTTCGGACTTGGACGAAACGATCCGGGCTGCTTTTTCTGGGAACGGTCGTCCCAGAAGGGTTCCAGGTCCCATGGACGAGCTTGGATCCTGAGAACCTTTCAAGTGCAACCATTTGTGTGACCGGGTTGAGAAGGTAACATCTACTAGCTCCGCCATCACAGTGACCTTTTGAGATTAGAAGAGGTCACCTATAGGCTAATAATATATATAGATATAGGTCACTGACTGAAGGTCCTGGTGCTAGATCTATATTTGAATATGTCTGCAGTTGGGCAATTCATCATCTGCAGGATCCTATCGAAAAGTCTCAACCCCCTCACGCTTCTTTGGTTTAGAGGTTTGTTTTATCATGTTTCAGCGGTTGTGGAAAGATTTAATGTCATTTTTCGGAGTCCATCAGCGGACTCAGGAGGGCATGTGTTTTTGTGATGTTCTTCACCGCGCAGCCCGACTTTGGGCAGCCCGAATTCTGGGCTTCCCGTCATGTTCGGCACTCGAAAACCGGGCGTGGTACGACCTGCAGAGGGGTTTGACATCGGGCTCCCCCAAAAAGTCCCTCAGCCAAGCGTTCTCTAGCGGCGCCCGAAAGCCCCGTGATGGTGGAGCATCCAGTTTCGGCTTTTCACCACCCTCAACACCTTCACCGGTGGCCCGGACTTGGAGTCTTAGGGTGACATGTGTTCTTTTCGGTACCTCTCTACTTGCAGTTTTCTGCTGCCCAGCATTCCCAAGGCCTGGGACACTGTGACCATCCCCAAAAACGTGGCTCGGAGAACTGGGGCACTGAGCGGGAAGCTGCCCACCCTCAACAAGTGGTTCTTGTTCTCAAGAAGATAGGGTTGACATCAAGACATGTCATTTGCATCGTTCTGGTTGTTGCTTTCTTTTTCTTTTTTTTTTGGGGGGGGTGCTTTACAAAATATACATTATAACTATAAATTATACAATTAATTACATCATGTTTTTCACATATATGTAAATATATATAATTATATATCATGATATATAATGAACATCATATGTAATCCCAGACCATCATAGACCATCCATGTATGGAATAGTCCATTTATGACCCGAATGTATAGATGTTGGACCACTCCATGGATGTCCGGAAATCATCAAGGCATGTTGGGTAGTCCAGCCAGGAAACCCATTGTCTTGAGATGTTTTGAAACATATGCATCTATTAAACCCCTCCAAGACGCCATGCTTACGTGGATCGCATGGCCCTTAAACATATCGTTGACAGTTGAACTCTCTTTGTCTCCACCTTTTTGTACAGTTACTTCCCACCGTATGTATGGAGAGGTAATGTCATATTACCCAGGCAACGAATAAGAAATCCAAATACCAACAGGGTGCGAACTCCACCCAACCATGTATTGTTGGATGATGTTGGATGGAGGTGACGGTCATCGAAATCATGATTCGATCGTTGGCTCCTCTCCACCCTTCGTCCGACACCGTTGTTTCGCGCAGGTGTTTGACCCAAACAGATGCCCCCAATCACCCCCAACGGGCCCCCAACGCACCACGGAGGGAGCGCCAGGTCTGACAGGTCTGACATGCACCGATTGGAAGACAATGACATCCATTTTCTTCCTCCTGACTGAATTGGTAGAACCCGGGCGAAGCGAAGAGAAGTGAAGAGAAGCGAAGAACCGAAGAGAACCCTGGATTGGTAGAACATCCTGAAGGTTCCAGGCTTTGAGAATCTTTGAGATTTGAGATATTGTTTTTTTGACATTGGGGACTTATGGCTTGTCCATGGAAGGTTTTGTTTCCAGTCAAAGTTGAGATCTCGGTTGTGGTGATGGGCTCGACCTTTTTCTTCTCATACTGGAGGGCTGAACATTTGGTGATCACCATCGTTTCAAAATCTTGTTTACGGTTGGTGTAAGCTGAGAAGCTTTATGTTTCATGCTCTGTGGCATCCTCCACTCGCATATGCCACCGACTTCATCATCCAGTGGCTAGCAAATCTAGCAAGTCCCCTTCCCCTCCGCCATTTGCAATGCCCTGGGGCACTAGCAAGTCATTTGCCCATGGGTATCCCTAGGAATCCAGTCGTACCTTGTGAGGTTCGGTACGACTGGATCCGGTATGGGAACATGATCGACTGGCAACGCTCGTCCTCACGTCCTCGCGGCGGCACGTCCTCGAGTCGTCGAGTCCTCGTGGCCGCCCGAGGTGCAGCTCTTGTTGAATCCCAACCTCCCTCCTGTTCGGGGCAGTGGTTCTCAAGGGACCTTCTATGATCGAGTGGCACAAGATAAAGAGATTCTGCGAGTGGCCTGGTGGAGAGAGGTGTGAGTTCTATGCTTACTTATTAGGCATGTGCAGCTGTGCTTAGAAATTGTATACACCTGCTGTTTGATTGTGGTACTTGTAGCTTGTTGAGTGATATGCTTGCTCTTAGTGGTGAACCCAGTGCAACCCGGAACATCAACAGACATATTGTTTATTTGCGAAATTGTGTTGAGCACATCCAAGGTGGTGCTGCTGCTCACCGGCAGTATTCAGAGACTTGGACAGTGGAGACCTTTGTGCCGACGCCAGTGCTCCGTTTTGGATGTTTTTGGTGTTTTGAGATGTCTTACTGAGAGGGTGCAACTTCAATGCAAGGGGATTGATCGTGGAACATCATGTTTTTGGTGGGTTGAAAGTTGAAAGCTACTTGAGAAAATCCATGTGTTTTCTTGCACTGGGGACAGTTGATGGTTCTTTGGTACCCTACTACTTCATTTTGGGTGCATTTCTGCCACTCTTTGGGAGAAACCAGGCCATCGACAGGCCATCAACATTAAAGAGGGGCATCCTGGACACATCCTCCGATGTTTCACACCCTTGAACTTCCCAACTCGCCACGTATACTACTCGGTTGGCTCGGTCCAGGAACGCCCGGAACGGGAAGGATGAGTATTTGAAGGACTTTGAACGCTGGAGCTGGCTCTGGAACCGCGACATCGATGAGGAGCATCTTGGACACTCTCGGTTCGGTCACGTGGTCTCGGTCGGTCACTGGAAGACGATGCACTGGAGCCTGGTTTCACCACGTCGGTTGGTGGAAAACATGGCCTGGAAAGCAGGCCACACAAACGTCAGGAGGAGGTTCACGACCTTGTGTTGCTCAATGGTTTATACCAGGGCGGACAACGCTGACCCTTTGAGAGGCATAGACAATAGACACCTGCCCTGATGTAGATCAATGTTCACTTTTTGATACTTTTTGGGGCTCATGGAAGGCCAGGTGGCACAGTGTATGAGTTTGTGCTTACTTGGCACCACTAGCCTGACTAAAGTGAGAACGCCGCAAGACCCGTAAAGTGGACACACATGGCCTGGGTGTATGACATCATATATATATATATATGTATCATGATAAATTCAATGTTTTGTTGGGGGGAGGCGATCTTATAAAATAGAAGATGGCGAACCCATGCTGAATTGGACTGCTCACCATCACCCACGAACTCGCCGAACTTCGCGAGTTCAGCCGCTGAGGTATCGGAAGTTCTTGCGCACCGAGCCGTCTTTGGACGAGTTCGAGGCGCGTTTGAGGTCCTTCGCACGCCTGGGCGACGAGTTCCAGCTAATCGATGCCAGCCGTCAGATCTCGGCGCTCTCCTTGCAGGCTGCGCTGGGACCGAACGGCGCCGGCTTGCTTAACGCGGCGTGTTCCGCCGTCGACGCGTGCGGTGCGGTGGTGGCGCGTTTGCGTGCCCGCGGCGATGGGCGTGGGCGTTGTTGGGAGCGGCGCGGTGGGTCACTGTGTGGCAGGAAGGGTGATTGATCTTAGTGGGTCGTCCCCTGAGGTCATTCTTGCTATACCTGGACCCGACTTCAATGTACCTTAGAAAATGGGACATGACCCTATAAAGAACAGGTACGACAGTACCCATTTTCTGAAGTACTTTGAGACTCCAGGTGTATATAATATATTAAGGGGCGATCAGGGAGCCAAGAGTCAGCAAAAACCGGTCCCATGTGTACGTACAGTATGCTTGGCTCTTGGGCCCAACCGAAGTACAGGATCCCCAATTTTGTTACAAGCACCCAGCTTGCAGGTCTCTACGGTTGCTCGATGTTGCTTCTGGATGTCTCCAATGTACCCCTGGGCCCTAAGTACAGTACCTCAGAAAATGGGTACGTACAAGTACTTGTTTTATATAGGGGTCATGAGTCATGTCCCATTTTCTAGGGTACTTGGTGGAGGGTCCACATCAGGCCCCATGTTTGAGCCCTCAGTGCTTCTCTTGCAGGCAGGCAACCTGGCCAGGAGCCTCAGAGAGCTAGCAGGCAGGGTTTTCCTGTGATTGTTTCTCTCCTTGACTGGGGGAATATGAGGGAATGCATCTGAGAACTTAGTGTGCAATATTTTGCACGGTGGGTGGGTTCATTTTAAAATGTTGGCTCTTTGCATTCTTCACTATTTTTCACTGGGAACGTGCATTGTTTTAAACTGAACACTGAGATCGTATTTCTCCGAATGTTTCATGGTTGGTTCCTCAATATGTTTCACTGCGAACATTTTTTTTTACTGAGAACGTACCTTTTCATACCCTACAAGTGAAAGACCTCATTTTACTGGAGATGGTCATGCAAAACCAGTACTTAAGGAAGTAAAACACCAGGTTTTACTTGGTCAGACTAGACTTGTAGGGATATGTTCTCATGCTCGAGGAATCCTACCTGTATGAGCGGCTCGACTGTCAGGGATGCCCAGGATCACAATCCATTGACCTGACACGACCCGTGTTCCCCTAGGGACGAGCAGGGACATGTAGGACGAGAGCTGGCCGTCTTGACGTGGTCCTTTTTGGCACCCCGTCTTTCGAAACCCTACAGATCCAAGTACCTTCTCAGAAGGTGATTGGAGGCACTGTTATGTAGGTTTGGAGGGTCCAAGTACCTTCTGAGAAGGTACTTGGATCCCTAGGGAAAGTGGAGGAGCGAAACTCAGAGATCTTGCATAGAGAAAAGGTCCCGGCCAATTGGTTTGCTACTTTCTTTTGGGGGGGACCAACAGTTCTGATTTTGGTGGCTGTGTGTTTTCTTCTTGGGAGTGCCAAGGCTTCTTGTTCCGCGTCTTTCACTTCCTCACTCGGCGTCACCACAAGATACACCGCTTGCACCGTGGGGCTTGCCCCGCCGTGCTGCCAGGCCGATGGAAGGAATCCTTTGCCAAAGAGCTGCACAAGAAGCTAGATTCTGTGAATTGGGGACTGGAATAGGGAGGCCCACCAAACATGCTTTTCCCCCTTCTACATGAACACATACACACCTGGACCCGACTTCAAGTACCTTAGAAAACGGGACATGACCCTATAAAAACAGGTACTTAATAGATCTTAATTGCACCCATTTTCTGTAAGTACTTTCCCTAGGGATCCAGTTGTACCGAACCTCAGGTACGGTGATGTGTTCGACACTCTGACTGTAGGTGCCAAAACGTCGGGTCCAGTCGTACCTTCTGAGGTTCGGTACGACTGGATCCCTAGGGTTTGAGACTCCAGGCATGATACAGTTCTCTCCCCCGTTTGCCCGGAGGAGGTGCTCGGAGTCCGGCAGGTCCCGTCCTTGCTGCACGGGGGGGGTTGGAAACCCCCACGCGGAAGGCTGTCAGCCGAGATGATCCGAATGAGATGATCCAGCGATGAGTGGACACCTGCTCCTATCCCAGATGTACCCATGTATGGAAGATGGGTCAATACCTTGAGCACCAACACCATGTAGCGTGACCTTTTAAGTAGGTCAAACAAGGTATCCAGGTTTTGACCCGCTGCAAGATTTGCCAACATTGACCCCCCGATAACCACCGTCATTGCCGAATATATCTCAATACATTGACATTTGAATACATAATATCTGAATATATATATAACTATATATATATCCATTGATCTCAGTCCCACACAGCTCGTGTTTGGGTTTGAGAACTGCACTCCATCCATCCATTCATCCCCACCCTTCGAAACCCTTCAACCACCTTGCTGTGCGTCCGAGTGGAGGGCGGCGGCTGTCGTTCGACACGTCCGATGCTCGCGCTCAGGAAGGCCTTCCTGCGGCTGGAGGCTTTGAGCGAGGTCATCAAGTCGACCATGAAGAAGCTGAGTCAGGAGGCGAGACTCTTTTGGTGGAAAGATAGAGGCTGTTGAGCGCAAGGTGGAAGACCTTTCCAAATACACCGTGGACAAGGAGAAAAACATCGCAAACAACTATACAGCTGTATGCTGTACATAAACTGCATTCATTCCTGTGGGGAGACTGCCGTCATTCTTGTGAGCATGTCCTTCCCACCAGTGGTCCGGGGACCTTAATTTTGACTGAGAGGACAATACAGTACAGGGTAGAGTGCAGGCTATTTGTTCACCAACTGATTCTGTTGCCAGTTGATACATATAAACCCCCAGAACCCCCATACCTGGTCATGCAGAACCATTCTAGTTCCAGGCACCCAACGGTTGAATTTCAATTTATCCATTTCACCGAACGCAAGTTCCCCCGAAAAAAACCTTCGTGGCACGACCTTTGAAAAAAGCCCCATTCTCCGCCAGGTGGCAGATGGGGACATCGAAGCCTTGGGCCAAGTGATGCGCACCCTGCGCGAGGTCGGGGTGCCACCGGGGTGGCCAGACGTACTGCGTGGGGTGGTGGCCTCCGGGATCCTCCGGGTGGTGGCATTCTTGTGATATAGATACAGTTTAACACACGGTTGAAGCTTTCTGAAACCTCCATGTTGCTTAAACCGGGTGGCTTGGTTAAGATATGTTAAGCTATATTGTTTCATTTTGTTTCTGAAAGCTTCTGTGGTCAGAGTTTGCTGAAGCAATGCTGCGACATCAGACATGGGCAGCATTTTGGGACCCATACGATCAGAGCTGTGTCCAAAAATCGCGTCTCCTGTCAAGTAGTCACTATATCACGCAAAGCGGTTCATGCTGATCATTAGTTACTAGTCCCTATATGGTCACTAGTCGTGATGCATTGGATGCACTTTAACAGACAAAGAGGAATCACTTGGATCCCTTTTCCAATTGCTGGGCCACGAGGATTACGACGCACGGGTCGCATGACGGTATTTCCCCACCTGTCAGGTGAGGGTTGTTAGATTTTACGTTAGCCCGAAGTGATTTTATGCTTTGTTACTGTAGTTGCTTTGTTATGCCACTGGGTGCAGCACCAGTGTGCAGCCGGCAGGTCCGAGAGAAGCAGGGTGAGATCGAGTTGGAATTGGAACCCGTCGCCCAAATGTCACTTGTGGAACCGAGTGAACGGGGCCGATGGGTGAAGGGTTGAACTGCTGAGATTCTTGCTTCACATGGGCGTGTGGTTGAAGTAGGTCAATCTGCCAGTCCCATGGAGCGTCGGGGTTTCATGAGTTCTCCAGCTTTCATGAGTTCATTGTTGGACTCTTCTGACAGTGTCGAACACATGAGACCAACGCAGAATGATCAACCAGCTGCTTAAAAAACGGGTCACCTGGCTGGACAAGTAGTCTACTTAGGCCTGTCTCCATGAACCACCCATTGGAAGTGCTAGGAATGAATGATTTGGTTTTAGAGGTTTCATCATCAAGTGGCTCATATCATGTGGCTCATCCAGCAATGCCACCAGGGGACACCGATGGTCGATGAAGATGAGGGAGATCCTCAACCCAATGCGTGTTCACAGATATGAGGGACATTGACCTTCCAAGAGGTGTTTGTAAGCAGCCTATGCCAAAAGCCACCTGTTGGAAGGTCCTGGTAATGGTATAGAATCTATATACAGTACTAGCTGTGTTCATCTACTATCCCTTCCTACCAATGGGGTGGCTTTGATGTTGTTTTTTCTTTTGAGTTCTTCACCCAGGACACGAAGGACCATCCGCTTTCTTAAAGCGGATCCGCGGTTTCTCGTGAGGTATGCCATGTTGACTTGCTACTTGCCCAACATCCTGGACAAGGAGGAACAGGATGCCCGCAGCATGCTGCAGAGTAGCTGGACCCGCTTACTCGCCGAGAGTGAGACCAGGCACCTGGAGCTCACGGTGAAGCAGGCGCACGGACGAGACAAAGAGACGACGAGCCCCGGCGGGTTCGGCATGACTCCCAAGACTTCGCCCATAGCTGGCAGATGTGATCCCTAAGGTGGGGTGAGTCGTAGAACGTGGAGTGGAAAGCAGGTCTTGTTCTCCTCTTCTTCCGCCCAAGTCACTCGTGGTGACTGGAGGGCTCGGATCAGACCCTCCAAGCAGGCCGAGAGGGCCCTGTCATAAGCTGCCGACATTGGACTGCGACACGGCTTTCAGAAAAAAAACAAAACGCCCGTTTATAGGGTGCAGGGTAAATCCAGGACCTTGAACGCGTTGAGATCCCAAAATGAGGTCACAAACAGAAACTGCAAGAGGTCACAAACAGAGACTCGGTCACTGACACTGGCTGAAGGGTCGGCATAGGCATAGACCTCACTTCGCTCTGACAGGTGCACTTCAAGCGAAATCTCATCAAGACGGTGCATTCCTTCAAGCGCGACGTGGAGAAGTTCCGGCGCGACTACGAGGAGCGCGGGCCCATGGTCAAGGGCATCCGCCCGGGACAGGCCGTGGAACGCCTGAAGCGCTGCAAGGAGGAATTCGAGGCCACGCGCGGTGCGCGGGTTCATCGCGTGTTTATCACGGATCCGGTGGGGTGTTTGAGTGAAGGGCTCTCCCTGTGGCATGGGCGTTGTTTCGCTCATCGGCTGACGGCATGTCAAGGCATGTCAAGGCCATTCATGTTGACTGTGGATGATTGTTCTATTTCGACCCCCCTGTCTTCAGAAGGCGTGCAAACACACGTTTTCTTATCCGCCACGTGTGAGTGGGGGTTCTCCCAGGTGCACGCTCGGAAGCGGCAGATCTTCGGCTTGGGCGAAGACTTGTTCGGCTTGCCCCACCAGCACCTGGGCGAATCTCTGAGAGTTGACTCTGGTTGGAACGAGGGGTCACGCGGTCGACTAGCTTGGTCACGGTGGGTAGTGTTTCTTGTGTTGTGTTCTTTCGGTGTTGGTCACCCCATTCACCGGGACTTTGTGACTGTGAAACCCCATTCATCGTGTTTTCAGATTAGGATGATTAGGCGGACTTGGTTGATGTGGTGGCCCTTGGTCGTTCGTGGTCAGTTGTCGGGCCCGTTGGTGTTGAGAGATGCTTGCTTTAGATATTAGCTATATAGACGATACTGTACTGTATATAAATTTTTTAAAATATTGCTGTACGATATTACTTGTATTTGATTTGGTGCTGCCGTTGTTCGGGCAAATGTTGGTTTTCAGATCTCGGTTTACCGGTTTCAGATCCAATTTGTTTGCAGTAAGGAGCTACACGCAACTGGACCAGACGGAGAAAGAGTTGGACTACCTCAGTCAGCTCTATGACTTGTACACCGCCGTCCTGGAGACTATTGGCAGGCCCAGCCCCTGCCCCAACGGTTGAAGCGAACATGATGTCCCAAAAAAGTGGCTGGTAAAAAAGAAACGTGGGTTGGTCCGGGTTGGTAGGCACAAAGGTTTCCACACACCATATGATTCATATATGATCGGTATTTGAGGTGACAGGGACATGGATTCTCGAAGCTGAGAATCCACCTGCTATGAGGCCCATTCCCAGGCGTCACGGTTCCGAGTTGGACGGAATTGAACGGGTGCCTCAGAGAAATTATGCCCCCAAACTATAGCGAATCGGCCCTTGCAGTGCATTTGTTCAGATTTTGTGATGAATAATTCATATCAGCACCTGCAAGTGCACTGCCAAAGGCCTCAACCAAGAAGAGTTGGGGCTTGCACAAACTAGATTCTAGATCAAACTGGGCTAGAACAATAATAGCAATCTATGCAGACTCTTTAGCAACTTCTCCCAATCCCGCCCCTTGCCAGCCAAAAACCTTTGAGCCCAAGACATGGCTGGCTTCCACCAATTTGACAATTTTTAAAGGGCACATAGGACACCTTTCTACTTTGGAATGCCCAATTGTTAGGAAGGAATCGGAAGGAGGAAATTGTTACGAAGGAAGGAAAGGAAGGATGATATGCTTCAAACGAACAACTTGTTAATTGTTAGGCTGGACTCGATCTGTGTTATTTGTAGACAGCTAGGTTTTATGGAACATTGTGAGGCTTTACACATCTTTACGCATTTCAGATATATAGTAAGAATACAACATCAACCGTGCTAAAAAGACACGTGCACTGCCACAGCCTGCCACACTCGACATACTCAACTATATGGGTTTCGATCCAATTCCGCGATGATGGATGGAGGGTCCAGGGTACGAGGTCAATGACCTTCGCAAGTGGGTGTTTTCCTTCAACCGTCGGTAGTACTCCTGCCAGGCATCGGTGCCCTAGACATTTAGACCTGGCTGGTGGGTCTGACAGCACATAGAGAGGTCAGTTTCACCCAACTTTATAGAACCTCAGCACCGATCCTAGGATTAAAAAACTCAATAGAAGCTGTAGCTGATATTTGTGTTTGTTCAGGGCAATGGAAACTTCATGTTCATCAGACCGCAGGTCTTGGCCCGTAGCGAGAGTCTGCCTGGGAGGTGGAAAGACTACCTGTGGGTGGATGTGCCTGCACAGATGGAGAGTATGAAGAAGGAGGCGGATCAGTGTCTTAGCTCAGGAATTGAGGGGTTAGAGATGGTCAGAGGATTCGATTCATTTTGTGGTCCTGCCAAATTGAACAGACAGATACTTTGATGGTGTTTTCTTTTAGGGACTTGATCGAGGACTTCGTAGCACTTGGCTTGAACCTGGGCTGATGTGCGATGGATGATCCATTCACAACGTATTTTTGGTCAGCCATCCGAACAACGAAGGGTTGATTTTTAGGGTGCTTTTGTTCGCATGACTCGATGATTTAGCTCGTGTGGGTTGGAGCCAGTCCTAAAATCATCCCCAACAAAGCATGATGCATAGGCTTCGATTAATTACTCCTGTGCATAATAGTGACCGGAAAGTTCAGAAGACTTCATTCTATATGAGCAACGGCCTTTATTTGCGGAAGTGAAGATTAGTGGAAGGGGCGTTCCTTTTCTATAGCCCAATGTCAGATTTAGTTGACGAAACCAGGTAGAAACACCCCGAGAAGGAGATGGGCATCAATTGCGCCATTTGTTGGACATGTTTTGGTTAATGACATGTTTAGCTGGTGAAGCGAGGTAGGAACACCTCTCGAGAACGAGATGGGTATCCATTGCACCAAAACCGATACAGGAATGGAGAACGATATCACACCCCAAAAACGATGCTAGATTGGATAACGAGGTAAGGAAGGCCCATGTCACGAAAGGTAGCTTGAGCTACCTGAGTTCTCCTTGCTTTAGCAAAAATGTATTACAATCAGGAGTTGGGATTGTGCATTGAATTTGGTCCTGTAAGAGTTGATTCTGTTCGTCGGGGGGGGGGGGGGGCCACGGGGCCCCCCCCTCCCTGGATCAAATCCCCCCTGCGCCGGTTCACGCCGTCATGGACTTCTACCAGGGATACTTGTGATTGCCTGCTACCTTTCGTTCACCCCCTCCTCTCTCAAGTGATAACTTAACGGAAATATGTTGCATTGCTCATATACAGTACTATAATCTAAATATACTTATAGTAAGCTTACTGTACTCTTTCGGAACTGTCAGAACTGCTTTGTATGTACAGTGGATTGAGAGTAGATGGCACAAACCCCAAGATGTCCTTTATATAGGGGTCCATGTAAACCACCTTTTGGGGATTGTGCCATCTACTCTCAACCCACTGTACATACTTGTTTAATACACATTCGATGCTTCAGAGCATAACATCAAGACTCCAGATCCTTGATGTGACCATTTTGGGTCCCTCGGCGAAGCGAGGTTTGCGTATCGCTGTAAGAAGATGCCACCGCAGCTGCGCGAGTGGCCGGCATACCATGAGCTCAAGAAGGAGATTGAAGATTTTCAGCACATCCTGCCCATTCTCATGGAGCTCTCCAAGAAGAGTATCTCAGATGTCGAACAGCTGAAGGCATTCGCCATGGTCTTACATGTTGCTGTGTTACTATGCTTTCAGTTGTTTATTCTGACTTTAGACGTGTCAATCTTGGAGTCATTCAACATGTGAAAGTCTACGTGATGTGAAGGCCTGATAGCCGCTGAACTCGCGACCCGTTCATGTCAACCCACCCCAGACTAACATGGAACGTATTTTTGACGGGGTCCGCTATGGTAGGGCCGTGGATGTTTTGCTTCGAACAACTCTTAATGTCCTATAGTATAGCCATTCCAATTCTCCACCACCACCAACGAGGCCACCTCCAAGACTTACCGGCTTACCGGCCACCCCGACCGCCCCCCCCGACCGACCCCCGTGCGGACCTCCAGGTATTCAACAGAGGCACTGGCAGCAGGTGAATGACATCACCGGAAAGGACCTCCAAGTGGAGAGAGAGGACTTCAAACTCCAGTCATTGATCGATGCCACTCAGCCGCCGTTTTTTCTTTTGCAAGGCTTTCGTGGTGGAAGGCGTGAGGGCGAAGACGTGGTGGAAGACATGGTCTCGACTGAACTGCCCGGGTTTTCGTGTGTCGACTTCCTCCCACCGGGTGTCGAATCACCGGGTGACACAAGGTGCGTCCGAATCACAGGTGTTCTTCGACACCCTCGCTGATGTGAAGCATCAAACTGGGGAGCTTAAAAAAAACCGTCGCGCATGGATTGATATACGGCGTACTGTATACCTGGACCCTCATTCAGGCTCAAATTTCTGCCTGTTCAAGAAAATCTGCCTGAACCAGGGTTTGTCCTTAAAAACAGCCTGCGGGCAGAAATCATTATTCGGGCAGAGTAGCAGATGCTGCAAATTACTTGCAAAGCACCTAAGTTGCAAATCTGCAGTTTTGAAACAATGTTCGACACTTCAATTCGGGCGAGAATCGGCGTGATTCGGGCGTGAATTGTTGTGATCGGGCGAGAATTTGTGTGATCGGGTGGATTTTGTAGACTCAAGTTGCATTGCATGTATTCATCACTCGCAGAATATATCTATCATGAACAAAAACACATTCGGGCGAGAATTCCAGGGTCGGGCGTGAAAACCATGTTCGGGCAGAAATACTGCCTGCATGGATTCGGGCTGGAATTCTAGCCTGGATGACTTCCTAGGTATGCTCTATACCTCACTGGCATGTTTACCTAGATTGAGGTGGTTTCAGGGGTGAATGTAGGCCGTACATGCCATCCGAGGGATTCGAGTATGTCACCGTAGGGTTCTCATGCTTTCCCACACACGGCCTAGCGTGATCGAAAAAGGGGTCAAAGTCGGAAAGTATTTCATTTGCATGGAGGTGTGTTCACATATTAAATCATATTAATATATGACATGCTTCTCAGGTTCGCGACTGGACCTATCCGAGGCACCTACATTGTCCATCCAAGTGTGACCTCCACCCGTTTGAGGGTGGAAGTCACTGACGTTACCGATCGACTACATCGCAGATCGCCTGAGGCCAAGCTGAATGATTTCAAAGATGAAATCCTCGACATCACGGAATCGGCCGATAAACAGCAGATCATCGAAGAGAAGCTCGCAGCGACTTGGGCGAAAGGCCCTTTTCAGGTCCGGGACGAAGGGCAAAGCGAAGGGCGTTTTCAAGCCAAATTAAAGACAGTGGCCCACTGGGTGGGCAGATGGCAGCTGATCAATTTCAGTAACTTACATGGGGGTCATTGGCTTCGTTACTGGTCGTCATCTTTGCGGGGGAATGATATTATATATACCCAGACGCTCCAAACAGCCCGACTGGTCCCTCAAACCCTATAGGGATTGGTTCGGCTCCGGACCTCGAGGATTCGGGTCCGGCCCCCACTTAGGCTCCAGGGTGATCGCGTCTGGGTCAGAGAAGACATCTCCCCCTCCAGAGATGCAGCGCTGCACGGCTCCAAGGATATCACGGCCCTTTGGAACACCACCCGCTTCGAGTTCTCCACGTCGAAGGGTCGGGAGACGCCCTGCGCGCCTCGAACGAAACCAGACGCCGATTCTGGCCGGTTCTGGAGCCGTTCGGGCAGAGGAGGGCAGGGTGCAACCCCACCCCAAAAAAAAAGGACACGTGAGTCGGGGTGGTGAATGGACACCTCGGCTAAGGGGCTATATAAAGAGACACCCCGACAGGAGGGTCCTGGCATGTGTTTCGGGGATGTGTAGATATATGTATACTTAGGACTTAGTCCGGACACCGGACCTACATGCTCCATTTCTTTTGTGGATGGACACATGCTAGAAAAAGTCGGGAAGACCATGACCTGTTCTTGTTAAACAAACTTTTTTGCTAGTTTCCGATCAGGTAGCTCTGAATGCAGTGTAGACTTTGGGTGTTTGTTTTTTTCTAGGATCAACAGGACGGACCGCGAACATGGGGAGGATCAAAACCATTGCACTTGACTTAACTTTTGATGGTCAAGTCTTTGATGTTGTGTGATGTTGTTATTGTTTCTTTCTCATCCCCATTTCAACGATACCTCACTTCGAAAAAGATACATGGTGCCTAGATGCATGCCATTGTCCCCGCTTGTTCACCGTCCCGCCTTTACTGGGCCAGGAACCAGTGCTCCAATCCCGCCCAAGTCACTGCCGGACCGACCTGTACAGGTGTTGGTCGGGCACAAAGTCACGGAGGTCCAGGAAAGCCTTGAGGAGACGCAGATGATCTTGAACGCTATGAACGCCCAACGGCAATCCGCGCCCTTCAAGGACCGGGAGTAGGCTCATGGAGCCGGGCATACTTGTAGCACCGCCCCCGTGGTTTCCATGTTTTTTGTTTTTTTTCGCGGGGGCAGGGGGTTGTTGCTGTCTTTTGACCCTCCGGTGGAATAGGAGACAGTGTAGACACGATTTGTTTTGGGCATTTTTCTCGTCGGGTTTTGAACAGGAGGGCTTGGTGGAGGGACGTCCCATGGAGTGGTCAAGTAGGTTGGAGGCCAAGTCCCCCTGGGCCCGTTCGGGGAGGAAACCTGAGATTCCCAGTGCCGGGCCGCTGCGAAGTGCGAACTTCCCGACTGAGGGTTTCGGGACTGGGAGGGAGCGGCAGAGCGAATGTCGGGGTTGGTTGAATCGGGTAAGGGGTTCAGAGAACACGGACAAGTGGTAAGTACTGAGACTGAAACATTGTACCGCGAAAATCCGGAACACATGCATTACTGAGCAGAAGATGGAGGATTTGTGGCAGGACCACAGGACAAGTTGCAGAGATGAAGTAGATGTGGTAGATGGATGTGCGTAGAGTTTGGGTGGCTGATGGATGGCTAGTTGAAGGGAGGGATGGATGGATGGATGGATGGACGGAGGAAAGTGTGTCCGATGGAGAGTTAGCGACTGGGGCTGGTGCTTTTTGAAGCACAGCCCTTCAGAGTTGCCAAGATAACAGCCTGGAGTAACTAGTAGGGTCGATGAGAACGAATTCTGGGAAGGTGTGGGTGAACCTATGAGGAACATATATACTTCGTGCAGGTGTTCTTCGGAGCGGTGCACAGCCGCACAGCGGTGCACAGCCGCAGGTGACCTCTCGATGCGCAGAGACGCCACCAGACCACTCAAGCGATGCACAGAGAAATCGATTCTCCCCCATTCACCGGGCGAAACGGGCCGTGACCGAAAGCCAGGAAGAGTTGGTGGCATTGATCACGACCTTGTCGGACACGGCGGATATCATCGAACGTTGGTACAAGGCAGGTGGAGGATGCTAACATCGCACCTGTCAGACACAGGACCAAAGGATCCCAAAGGGTCATTCATGGTCATTCCTGCATATTCGAGTGGCAAGATTGCACTCAAAGTCAGGACAGGTGTGCATTCTTCAGTAGACTACTCAGTAGACTATCTATTGTATTCATGTGAGATGTTGAGCATTGAGGTATGTCCCGTCACCTCCCGAGTTTTAACCCGGACATGAACTGATGCCAGACCAGGTAGTGGGGCATCAATTAATCTATATGTCGAGTGCATATGTGAGTCTTTTATTTTATGTCTTTTTGGGGGACAGCACCATTCCAACAAAGAACTTGTTCAAGAGAATGGCCTGAGTGAGATCACCAGAGCCCACAAAACATTCAGGACTGGGATCTTACAAGTAGTCCTTGTCAGATCTTGAGCCCCATATGCAGTTTCACTGCAGCCAGCCTTGACATATTAGATGACCCCAGCCCTGGCACCGACGACAACGGGGTCTTTCCAAGTCCTTCCGAACCACATGAGTCAACCCATGGGAACCCGCCTCCACTCGGCGCGTCGCTTGGAGCTCCTTCCGTTTTCAGGTGCAACAAATGTGGACCTCCTTGGAGTCCGTCTTCACCGGTGGCGACATCGCCAAGCAGATGCCGGCGGAAGCCAAGAAGTTTCAGCAGATCGATAAGGACCGCGGATCGGCTGTTGTTGGACACAGCCGTTTGCTTGAGCCCGTGATGCCCATGTGTATCTCTACCTCGAATTCTCATGGAAAAAACAACACCACATGATCTTCATAAACAAAGCCGGACGGGTGATGTGTTGGATGGTGGTTTTTCACCTACACCATCGAGAGCATCGCACGTGATGTTTTTAGTTTTTAGTACAAGTATGCAGCAAGCTATTTTACACAGCCAAACGGCACAAACAACACATGTTTTAACGGAAACAACACATGTTTTAACGGAAACACAAGCTGGGGAAACAACACATGTTGTTAACGGCATGGTTTTCCCGAGGACGGTGTTGACCTGGCGGTTTCGACGTTTCACATGTTGTGGTGATTTCACCACCCATTTCAGAAACGGGCCTTATCAGGGCGTCCAAACGGCGCCTTCCACTCCGTCAGATCTTCATGTTTGCAACTACTCAGAAGAAGCGGCACCACGGTGTTTTTTTTTCCATGTTTCTTGGTGCCCTCGTTTGTTCGAACAACGCATGTTGCAAAAAAAGTATCTCAGAAGACCCAACAGTTCAAAAACTAGCAAAACGTTGGGCGAGAGAGTTGTTTTGCGGTATGACTGTCCATAGGTTTCCGGAAGTTGTTATGACAAGACTATTAAACTATATTACTGTTACTGTATGATAACTAGAGTGCGTATGTGTTATCAGAAAGGTCAATTTGAATGTTTCCATAGTGCTTCGCGGTTATTTGATAGTGGACTAATCATGGGAAACTTGGTGACTTGTCATGCGAGACAAATCGGTGTCTCCATAGTGCTGCGCAGTGTGTGTATTTACATGTTTTTACCGCAGGAATCAGGCACCCTCCAAAAAGCAGATGTCCCTGCAATCCATTCTTGCAAGTCTGAGCCTTGAGGACTGGTTGAAGATCATGCATAAATCTGCCGAGACATTGAAAGTGGTGGATTGCTGTCAAAATGAGCTGCTGCGACAGATGTTGCCAGTCCTTCTTGCTGGACTTGAGACCTGTCAGAAGTCGCTTGGACTGGACGACTGGACGACTCCGAGCCAATGAGATGGCGGAAACCCTGAGAGGAAGCTAATGGCCAATGGATGCCAATAGATGAGTGTTCATATATACTTGCCTACTTATCCAACTTAGTTTCCGAAAGTGAGAAGACATTTCAGCCATTCTCCGCCTGCCAAGGTCTTTAGAGAGCTACTTGGAAGGGAAGCGGCAGAAGTTCCCGCGCTTCTTTTTCACCTCTGACCCGGTGCTGCTCAAGATCCTCTCGCAGGGTGGCAGCGACCCCGATACGATCCAGGCCAGGCTGAGGGCTTCGAGTCGAGTCCGCAGTCGTCGATTGTGTCATGTGGGAAGATCGATCCTTCAAACAGCTCAGTTCAATCGGAAACATCGAGGGAACCCAACGCATTTTCAGGATCACCTATCCAGTGGACAACCTTCAATGACCTTTTTTGGCGGGAGATGGGTGAATCCTCACTCAATACAAGGAAGGCAAGCTTGCGTTCACCTCGTTCCAGGGAAATGGCTCTGTTTGGGGAAGAAATCGCACGCAGCTCGGCTCGGGCGACCAAGCGACCAATTGGGGCGTAATCGCCCAATCGCCACATTTGCGCACACCGCCGACCTGGATGATGACCTGGATGACCTCCAGACGTGTGGGTGTGCATTTGTATGGAGAGTCCCCCTGGCCCTGGCTGGGTAGACGGATCTCTTTCCCGAACCGAAACCAGAGGGTTGTTGCCTGGGGGGTCTCCCGATTTTCATACACACCCCAAGACCTTCAACGTTACATGTTGATATCCTAGGATGAGGTCACTTCGGCCCATCAAAGGTCACCTATAGCGACAAAGAGGTCACTTCGAAGCTCCTGGATTTGATCGAGATAAATTTGTCTCCAATCAACCTCTCAGATGGTGGCAGTTGATCGCCAGGGTATTTGAGCTACACACCCATATTCCAGCAGAAAAGTCCTTGAGAATTTGGGGTCAGGCCTCCAGACTTCCTTTTGACTTTTGCATTGCATTGACTGATGCAAAGCCTTTTACTACATACGGGCAAGATGTGGTTGGATCAGGACGACTTCGAAAAGCTCTTCGATGCCATCAGCCGCGTGACCTTCGACAAACTGGACCGACGGAAGATCAAAGAGATCAAGAGCGTGGCGGGCACGTCGGAGGAGAAGGTCGTTTTGCAGGCACCTGTCATGGCACAAGGCAACATTGAAGAGTCTTGGTGAGAGAAACGCCAGGATGAGAAGGACATTGTTGGGCATGGTCGATAATGGCCATTTGAGAAGGGTCCTGCACTGGGTCCTGCCAAAAACGTCTTACATCGTCTTACTATATGCATCTATATGCAGAAAAGATGCTGTCCTCCAAGCACGGAGTGTTGGCCACGTTTCTTGCACTTCTCCTTTTCGCCAGCGCCCTTCCTGTCTTCCTGTTTTTGGTCTCAGAATGATCACTGAACCTGCAACGAACATGGAAGTGACAAACTCCCAGGCGACTCGTTTGCTTGCTATCGCTCTTCAGGAATGGCTCCAGAACCTGGAGGTGGAGATGAAGCGCAGCGTGCGCCGGGACTGCCGTGTGGCGGCCCAAGAGTGCGGCCACGTGTGTGCGGGCGTCTCCGTGCAAGCTTTTGCCGACAAGTACATCGCACAGGTGAGGGGAGTAGGGTTTGGACGATGGATGATGTGGCCAGTTGAAGAGTGAAGTTGTTTTTTTTTGGGTTGACACATGTTGATTCCTCCAAGAATGTCCCACCGAACCCGGAGGTCTGCACCCAAGAGTGCAGACCTCTGACTTCGGGTTGATGAATTTTTCCTGACATCCTGGTATGTTTGTTTGCAGCGTTTGGATGGTCAAAGATCTTTGACCGGGGCAACCTTCATGACTGAGGGTTGCCAACTTTTGGTTCGGTTCACAGCCCAGGGCAGAATTTACACTCAATGGAATTCACCAGGGCAGAATTCACTTTTGGTTCGGTTCTTCCTTTCAGGGCCATATTCCCTTTCCATTTGAGTTCCTAGGGAGTGCACCCCCAAAGTTGGCGTTTCAGAGGATCAACCATCCCAGCCGTGGTAGTAGAGCTATGACTTGGTAGGTTTGTTTTCATTCTAATGGAAGACCTTGCTTTATATATATATATATCCGAACAGGCAGATAAAGAAGCCCTCAACATCCCTCAACCAAGGGTGTGCTATGAGTTTCCAGGGGGGGCTGCATGCTTCTAGCTAAAAGAATAGTTATGCCACGTTTGTCCAAATATTGTCAAGCAGGGAGACCTTTTGTTTGAGCACAGCCATGACCAGGTCATCTCCCATACTTCAATGAGAGTTCATTAGCCTGGCATCTAATCATCCAGCTGCTTTGTCCTGCTCTGTAGATGTAATGACTTACTGGTAGTTCAAGTCTATGAAATCAATGCCCGTTGAAATCCTGAGATTCATCACATCCACGAACCCAGATTCACCGCTTCCCTCGTTCGATACGTCGCCTGCGTCCAGCGGAAAGCTCGCCATGTGGTCCCGGTTTCGCCAGGTGGCCTTGCTGGGGATCCAACTCATTTGGACCGCGGACTTCCAAAATGCCTTGTCCTTCGCGTCACGCGAGAAGGACAAGTCCGTGATGAACGCCACGAATCGGAAGTTCCTGGCACTCCTGCAGGAGCTGGAGACGGCTGGAGACGACGGGGTCGATGGGGGTGACAAGCTCCGTCAACGAGGTGGGGTGGATTGGATCATCGCAAAAGGACGTGTTTCCAGAAGTCCATCGAAATCAACCAGCTCCACCACCATTCCCAGACACTCCATGGGACTGGCATAGGACTGCCGCCCCATTGACCCCCCTGGCACCACCCCAACTGATCGGCATATATGGCATACATGGAGTGTTTGGGATTTGTTGATGAGGGACCTTTTGTATCCATGTGTATCAATCTTCGTGATCTTCGTGCCGGGTCCATCTCTGGGTAGAAAAGGCACCTTTTCGACGCATGGCCCATGGCCGCAGAGTGTAGAAACCATGCAGACATGACTCTTGGATTCGATGGGTGACTATTCTTGGCACGACAAGACCATGAGAAGAGAATGTGTTTGGCTCCAAAATAGGGGCCGCTTGGGTTCTATAGGTGTTTCAAGTCTTGCAGGATTGAAGCTGGCAGAAGTTTTCGGTTATCACATCCTCACTCTCAAATATCACAACCTAAAGGTTTCCACCTGAACATATGAACCTAATCTGAACATACTGTCAGTCCTCACCTAGGATTTCCAAGGTCTAATCTTCGCCCATGCTCCCAGTTGTTCAAAACGCTTTAAACGGCCAAGCAACTGCTGAAGGAAGAGCCTGGGATTCCTGGGCCACTAAGGAGTTAGACTACAAAAGCATCAAAAAATAACCTTTTCAATTGGCAGTCCCAGACAGGTCGTGTTTGGGATTTGTTTCGAAGGTTTTTGCATCTCATCCGTTGCGAACATGGATGCTGGTTGCTTTGGTCGTTCGAATCCGCTGGAGTCGAGGGTCGGACCCGAATCCTCGGGTTTTCGGGGTTTGGACCCCGAACCAATCCGGTTTTGAGGGACCAAGCAGTCGGGCTCTTTGGAGCATTTGCGTATAAGAGGAAATCCTACATACAGCTGATGTCATTTGTTCATGGTATAGAAGTGTGTGAAATGACCGGCCTGACCGGCTGCCGCGACTGATAGTTGTCCTTCCCTGGTTGTTTCCGTCCCCAGGAGTTGACGGCGATTTGTCTTCAGGGCGATCTGTCGAAGTTGAAGCGGGTGAAGTATGAGACACTGGTCACCATCCATGTGCATCAGAAGGATCTCTTCCAAGAGGTGCCCGGTTTTCAGTCCAACGCCGTGCGGTTCGTGGGCGGGAACGACCCGATCTCGTGCCGAAATCGACACCACATGCATGAGAAAGAGCCGCAGATGAACGAACGTGACCAGGGTTTGCCTGCCCTGGCTTCATATACCAAATGAAAGACACATTTTGACGGCAGCAAGATGCTACTGTAGCCAAGCTTAGTATGTGGTGACCCGCCGTGGCCATGGAGAAAGCTTCATGCTTAGTTTCTTTATGTTTCTTTTCAACCGAATCATGGCATGGCATGTTATTAGACAAGACTTCCTGTACCTGCAACAGGAGCATAAGACTCATAAGACCATGCCAAGCACCATGTCACTCCGGAGTGACTCCACTTGGCATTCCGACCTGTGACTCCATTCGTCCGACTGGGTCCAGGTCCTCAAGAAGCCCAAGGATCAACGCGTGAAGGATGAGAACGACTTCGAATGGCTCAAGCAGACGCGCTTGTACTGGAGCACCGAGACTGGGCGGTCACCAGTCGGTGGGAAGACGGGACGGAACGGGTCCCACTGCTTGGCCCGGTTGGCTTGCTGATCACTGGAGAACAGCCCAAAAAACCAATGGCGTCCCTATTTGTCCCTAAAGCGGTTGATCCACGAAGAGCACCGGTTGATCCACGAACTGGGAAGCGATCCATCCGCTCACGGAGATCGACCGGCGGTGCGAGACACGGAGAGCACCGGTGCCCACCAGGGTGTCCCGAACGTCACATCCACGAGCCCCTGGATGGGACGAGCCACACCACCCCGAGCTCTGTGACTGTTGGTTCTTGAAGTAATTTTGGTTTCAAGATGTTTCAAGGCATTTAAGCGGTTTAACATGGTTTAACCTAAATAACTTAGCATTTAAGCATGTTAAGCATACATGTCTTTTGTTATTTGAATTATTTATCTTTAAACGGTTTAACCTTAAGAATCAGTTTTGCACGGCATGATTCCATCCTACTCCACGGCATCGCCGAGGAGACGGACCACGCCGTGATCAGCATCGCTGACGTGGACTTCATCTATTCCTATGAATACCTGGGTTGTAAGGAACGACTGGTGATCACTGCGCCCTGACACTGACAGTGGGAGAAGGATCTGAAGTTACAAGTCGGAAGCCGGAAAGTCCTTTGTAGACGCATGGCCAGGTGTCTCCAGGCTTGGATTGTGTGTGTGCATCAACGATCGATCCAATGTTCTTTCATCCTCTTAGCTGAATCCTCCGGCATGACCACCAGGACCGGCATGTCACGCAAGACTATAGCTTGTCCCAACACGTTCCGACCAATCAATGGGTTCAAAGGATCAGAAGGTTCAAAGGATCATATCTCCCGAGGAATCCACGTACCTCCTCAAAACATACTTGGACCCTCCTGGCACCCACCCCAGTCCACTTTCTCAGAGGGTACGACTGGATCCCTAGGGTCTCTTTCTTTGTTTAAGACTCCATAACCGTGGCTGCCGCTCTAGTTGTTAGCTATAGACTATAAAGACTAGCTATATATATATAACGACGACGACGACGACTACTACTATTACTACTACTACTACTACT